GCGGTAGAAAAAACACTCATAGGTGTACCACCATATGGGTTTTTTTCAGATGGTATTCCTGTTCCAGCAACTTCACATTTTTTTAGTTCTTCATCATTATCGTGGAAAATTTCACGACAATACTTGACATAATCCTGAATGTGTTTGTTATCGAATTTGATGGTTGATAGTATCTCCTTGATGAGCTGTGTATACATAAAAGAAGGATCCAGTTGATCCAACTTTTTGCCAGATGCTACGAAGCTGATGGAAACAGCGTTTTGTTCACATTGCTGTGCTACTCGTTTAAGAGCTTTACAGATGGGTTTGATTTCTGTGAAAATTCCCTTAATCTTTGGCCAATCTTTTGTCCATCCTTTATGTCGTCGTTTATTGCCGCGGAAAATAAATATAGAATCCACTTGAGATAGTTCGTGTATCTGAGGAACAATAAGCTGTCCAAGTGAACCTGATATAATCATACATGCCTTACGGTTTTCAATTGATTTCACGAATTGAATGCATTTATCATTATCTGTATACGTGTTCACATCATTAACGGCACGTCTTAATAGAGTAATGGTGTTCTGTACATCGTCATTGTTGTTCTCAATGTTGGCATCTAGCCATATCAAAAGAACTTCTTGGATTCTTCGTATATCAATGCATTGACACCCACATGTGTTGTTTGCATTTCCGACTGTTTGTTGAGTTGTTTTAGAGCTGGTTGATTTGCTGTTTCCCATTGAGCTTATTTAATTTTGTTTCTTTTTGTGGTAGGATGTTGTGAATTTTAGTTATTTTAAATATTATCGAGAGAATTGACTGATGAAAATGCGCTCTTTTTATAGAAGTCTCTCTTCTCGTTCTGAATGTTTTTGTTCGTGTTCGAGAACGCTTTTTCTTCTCTTAGTGATTTTTGTATTCTTTATAAGCAAACATTAGTCATAGCAAAATCTCATAAAAAAATATTTCATCGTATCAGGTGCTCTTGCCTATAGGCAATTGTATGCATATATTTTCTTCGTGAATATAAGATTTTTCCGCAAAAGAATTGTGCAGAATTTGTCGCTTATAATTTTGTTTCTTTCTTCTCAGTAATGTAAAGTAACTACGTTAACAAACAGAACACTAGTTGTACAACCTTTTTTTTTCTTTCTGAAATATTTTCAAGTACTCTTAGTTCTTGTTCACTTCCTTTTTTTCATTCGACAGAAGAGAAAAAAGTGGAAGTACAAAATAATGACGAGAAGCATTTTTTTCATCAACCACTATTACCTTTTATAGAATATGTCAGAATTATTATAACTTTCATAAAATGGAATTTTTTTTACTATCAAATTATATATCCAGTGACAAAGCTCTTTTCTTAGCTTTCTAATACACTCAATTTTAATAGCACAAATTGCACCTGAGTTCGTTTTCATAAGCATCATCAGAAAATATTTACTTAATTGGATTCGTCTTCTATCAGCCAAAAAAAATTTTCTCAATAAATAAAATTCTTTCATTCATTTTTTCTGCGATCAATAAACTGTAGAATTGAAAAGAAAAAGAATAGTAAAAATATTTTTTCTCCAACAACAATCACAACTACAGTGGTGGCAAAAAGTTTCGTGACACTTGTAAATCACCTCCTAAAATTTTATATTGAATTGAATTGGAACTCTATTCATATATCTAGTATAATTACTAGTAGACCTTTCATAATTTATTCAGAAATCAAGAACAGATCATTTCATCATTAAAAACAAATCGATAGAAAATACCTTTAGCGGCAAAAAGTTCCGTGACAAAAGCTATTCATGTATAAAAACAAAACAAAATGATCTTCGAAGTCAGATAATTCAATAATCTATGTAATTGCCACGTGCTTTAATTCTCTTTCTCGTAGAGAAGAGTCTTAGAAACATAAATTGTTTGCTTGCTTGCTTGCTTGCTTGTATGTCCGCAGGGTCAAAAAAACATTGAAAATCGATTTTTCCAAAAAGACATTTCCAGATGTATTTCGATGCGGAGACTTCGAATCTGATGTTATGTTTTTGAAATTTTTCATAAAAAACACTTTTTCAGACAAAGAACCACTTTTTTACAAAAAAAAATTTTT